CCCCCCCCCCCCAAGCCCCCCCCCCCCCGGTATTTGCCATCGGGGTTTGGGTTTTCGGCGCTTGGCAACGACGTTGTAAAACAAGCCCCCCACTCGGTGTTTGCCATCGGGATTGGGTTTTCGTCGCTTGGCAACGACGTTGTAAAACAAGCCAAATTCACTTCGTGAACTCGGCAACCAGGTTACCGTTTTTTTTTTTTTTTACCTGGGTTTTTTTTTGGCGGTAACCATAATGGTGGTCGAGTAGATCATGTTGTGCGGGGTCGAGAAACCTCACTCCGCGCAACGGGGGATGATCGCACCACGTTGTGTTAAAATGGTCAAGCTTCCTCGAGGCAGTTACACAGTGCTTACAACTATCTCTGGAAGTGAAAGCACCAGAAAATAAATTAAGTCATACGTAGTTGTCATCCGTACCCAAGGAAGTAAGCACAAGATGCCGAACACCCTTAGCAGGATGCAGCTCACCCTTCATGCGACTCGCCAAATACCTCACGGCGCTTCGCGCTTGGTGATGTGAGAGCCTGGTCCGGTGAGAACCCGGCGTGCTCCGTCCCGGCTTTGTAGGGATGCGAGGTCAATGGTCAAACGACTACGGCATGCACGACTATGAGTACACCCCCCCCCCATCGGCAACCAGGTTACCGTTTGTTTTTTTTACCTCTGTTTTTTTTTTTTTTGCGGTGACCATAATGGTGGTCGAGTAGATCATGTTGTGCGGGGTGGAGAACCCTCACTCCGCGCAAGGGGGATGATCGCACCACGTTGTGTTAAAATGGTCAAGCTTCCTCGAGGCAGTTACACAGCAGTGCTTACAACTGTCTCTGGAAGTGAAAGCGCCAGAAAGTAAATTAAGTCATACGCAGCTGTCATTCGTACGCAAGGAAGTAAGCACAAGATGCCGAACACCCTTAGCAGGATGCAGCGCACCCTTCATGCGACTCGCCGAATACCCCATGGCGCTTCGCTTCTTGGTGATGTGAGAGCCTGGTCAGGTGAGAACCCGGCGTGCTCCGTCCCGGCTTTGTAGGGATGCGAGGTCAATGGTCTAACGACTACGGCATGCACGACTATGAGTACACCCCCCGCCACTACCTTTTCGGCCTGCAAGCATGGTTTCGTTGATTTAGCCCCGGGGTAGATCGTTTTCGACCAAAAAAAAAAATCCCCCGGGTATTTCAATTTCCCCCCGGGGTACCAGTTTCCCACGAGTTCCCCCCGGGGGGGATACGTTTCCCTTATTTTCTGAGTCGATTTTGATGCATCGCGGAGCACAAAAAGCATGATGATATGGGACGGAAAATTCATTTGCAGATCTGCGATTCATGCGAGACTTGGGTGTACAGTTTGTCACTTGACCCTCGCCGTTGTTTAAATGGTGAAATGCTTTCGTTTTTTTGTCTATTTCTTGCATTTATCATCCCTGGAGTCAGCTGAAGCGTACCGTAGCATGCTGACGAAACCTTGAGCACAAAGGGAAAAAAAAAATCGTATTCATTTTTGGATCTCAAAGCTCAAGGTAGAACCGAACCACAAAAATAGCTTATTCCTGCGGACAAACTGCGAATTCTTGTGCATGAGCTTAGGCAATGGTACCTCTTGCTGTCTTTTTTCTCTTCGCCTTCGTTGCTCTTACGTTCCTCCTCCCTCTGCTTGTTGAACGCTTGCTCGTAAACCTTATCCATAGCATTTTCGCCACTCTCTGTGTGTGTCGTGTGTGGACCATCATTATTGTGCACAACCCCCCGGGGGGGGGGCTTCCCCCCGGGGTAGCGTTGGAAAAAAAAAAACTAACCCCCCGCGGGACGTCAATTTCCCCCCGGGGGTTTTGGTTTCAGAAAAAAAAACGATCCCCTCCCCGGGGAGAAAAAACTCCGTAGTTTACGGTACTCCTGCTTCATGGACTTCCAGTTCCGTTGTAACAGCAAAATGTTCGTCTTCGGACAAGAACGCCCGGGCCCTAAGGATTGTCTACGGGCATCTCGCAGAGTCAGTACTTCACGTTTGAGACGTGTTTGGCGCCCATCGAGATCGACTTGGCTCTCGTTGCATGAGCAACGTCTTGTGTCGACACGTCGACACACTCAAAACGACAGGGCATGGAAAACGGTTCCGCCAATCCAACGCGAAAAACAACAAACAAACACATGGAAATCACTTGGGTAAAACCCGTGCGTGAAGGTGAGAAGGGAGACCGAGCAAGCTCGTCCCTCTCCCATACCACACGATGACAAGACTGACGCCTTGTCTTTTCATTGGTCAGCCGGTCAGCGCGGTCGATCCTAATTCAAACACACACGCACACACACATGCATGTTTGCAGCGCGCACCCGGGTTGCGTTTCGTCATCGCGGCAAACAAAAACAACGCACCGGTAGGGACTCCGAGCATTCGCTGCCGCATCGCCATCCAGGTGGGATTGACCGCCCCGCCCCCCGCCGTGTCGACCCTATTGAGCTTCGTCGCGCCGAGCGCCTCGAGAGCCGCGTACCCCTCGCTCTCCACTCTGCCGGGACGCCGTCCGCGGGGAGAGCACGTCAAAAAAAAATTGAGCAAGAGGTTATCGTACCACGCATGGAAGGCTAGAGCTATGTACCGCAAGAGAAAAAGTGTTTCGTCATCAGCAGCGACAGCAGGGGTTGACGAATCGCTGCACTACAGAGCTGTGCTCTGTTGGGCTGCTTTGGCGAAACGAAATCGGCAGCCGCAACTGTCTTCCTTCATGGATAAACACACACCGACACGCCCAACAACAACCAACAACAACAGCACCAAGTGCGGTTCTTCGCGTGGTAGAGATGGGTGATTGGTTGGGGTGGTGCAAATCAAGGCAATCTTATCGATACGGACGGGCGAGGAGAGAGGGACAGAGTCGCATGGTCTTCTCAGCCCCGGAGTTTGCAAGACATGAAACGGTCATAGGCAGGCTCCTTCTCCCTCTCCCTCTCCCTCTCCCTCGTTGTCGATCACCCCCCCCTCCCTCCTCTCGTGACACCGCTACTACTACAACTCTTTCTCTTGACCTGGCGATGGCGTGAAGCAGGCCGTGCAAGTACTCCGTCCGGTTCTCCGGCCTTGGCTCCAGGATCGATTTCTTGAGGGGGTCGTTGGTTGGGAACCTCTCCCCCACGGTGCCCCTCTGCAAGGGGTAGTACTCTAATGGGGAGTCCGTCGACGGATCGATGTCGCTACTTCGTGCCTCAAGCTCCGACGACTTTGTTTCCGCGGGGCGGGGGGTGGGGTGAGTTGGCATGGGGGGAGGAGCGGAAAAGAGAGGGGAGTAGGTCAGTTCGTTCAAGCTGACCGCAGATAATTAGGGGGGGGGGGGGGGGGGCTTCCTTGAGACCTCGCGAGACCGGTGGCTGAAAGACAAAATTATTGGTAAGACTGTTGTAATAGAGAAAGCATACATGCACACACTTCGTCAAATCCACCTTGCCCACTGTCCGATCTTGTCTCTACCTCAAGAACATACCATACTTCGGGATCACATGCCTACAGAAAGCAATTCTTCTGATGAAGGTATGGGATGAGCAAACGAAACGAAACCGACAAAATGAGTAGCTCTTCTGGTGAAAGTACGGGATGAGCAAACAAGTAAAACCAATAGAATAAAAGAACGAGTGTACAGAAGCAACCAAACCACCGCCGACGGGCCGTTCGACCACACGCAACAGCCTACCGGCAATGGTACGTAGTTTTCTGTGGACACGCGCCCATCGTACACGTAGATCGTGCATGCGCCAGAACGGGCAAAGGACAGTTGGGGGGGGAGTGGAGTGTGCCGCTACACGTCTTACAAGCACAGGTGACTAAATACTGCAGGAACAGACACGGGCGCAGGCGTGCGAACGGGAAGGACCGAAACGACCATGAACTGTCATGACGTAGGCTGGTGCTCATCCATGGAATTTGTCGCTTACCACGACCATAGTAGACGCTGCTCAAAAGTTTACAAGAATCCTGACCATGACCGTTGTTCTCGTCAAGACACTCGCGGCTCAGCAACATTACAACCACAGCCCGCAACAGCAGGGATGGTCAAGGTTCATGCCTAGTTCTTGTTGAATCGAAACCTCTCCTCTTGAGTGTGGAATCGGCTGTGTCGTGTGTGTGGCATCGGAACCTGCGACCGGCTCAATTTTCAGCTCAAGACCTGCTTTACACAGGTATGCATGTCCGCCTACAATACTCGCCTCGAAGCCCTCGACCCTCAGGACCGCACACCCGACGTTCGACGCCCCTCCCACCAACCACAGGTCGGCATCCGCATCCGCATCCGCATCCGCATCCGCGTCCGCATCGTCGGCGTTGACACCATCGCTACCGCCTTCTCGCCGCCCCTGCTGGTTTTGGTTGATTTCCTCCACCTTGGCGTTGGCGGGCCCTCGATCTCTCCCGGCGTTGCCTAAGCGGTGGCTGTATACCCCTCGTGATGCGTCTTCCACGCGACGCTGCGGGTAGTAGTATGAACGTAAAAATTTAGGTACGCGCGACCAGCAGCAGTGCTTAGACAATCACGAAACAAAAAAGGCGGTCAGTACTTGCACGGCAAGCGCCTCAAAAACGGGGACGGGGGGCACCGCGACGGACAAAAAACAAAACAGAACGAGGACAATTTCCGAAGGAAGAACGCAAAAGAACTAAACACATGCGCGAGAAGAGACAAAACGCCATTCTCTTCAACTACACAAACACATACGTAAACTGCCTCAGAACTAAAAATAGTACAGTACAAAAAATTATGTTTATGCTCCTCACGTAATCGCGCACTAATGAACCACCTGTTGCGCGTGTACCACACAACGAGCGAGGCTGCGCGCAACAACCCACACGCGTGCACGAATGAATGCAGACGCGTACGCGAATCGCACGTGACACAAGACATAGCACCCCCAGGACCGATTCTTTAAACATCGACAACTTCCACAACCAGGAAGGATGCCAAAACCAAAAGATGATTGTACGTTTTTCGGGAAGCTCTCTCTCTCTCTCTCTCTCTCTCCACAAGGCGGTTCCAGCGCTGTCATTTTTCGGCGCCGTTGGCGTTCCACAGCAAGATTGATTGCATGATGTCGATATGCGACCACGATCCTCTCCTACCTGCTGCTGTGGAGAGTGATCGAGCTTTGAAAAGTCCAGGGAGGGGTGCGACATGTCCAACACCTCTTCCTACGGTACGGAATGTAGATACACCCCCTTCCTACGGTACGGTATGTAGATATACCTCTGCCTACGGTACGGAATGTAGATATACCTCTGCCTACGGTACAGCATGTAGATATACCTCTGCCTACGTACGGTATGTAGATATACCTCTGCCTACGGTACGGCATGTAGATATACCTGTGCCTACGGTACGGTGTGTAGATACCTCTTCCTACGGTAGGTATTGTAGATATACCTCTGCCTACGGTACGGAATGTAGATATACCTCTGCCTACGGTACGGCATGTAGATATACCTGTGCCTACTGTACGGTATGTAGATATACCTCTTCCTACGGTACGGAATGTAGATATACCTCTGCCTACGGTACGGTATGTAGACATACCATACCTCGCTGAGCATCTTGACGGCGAGGGTGCTACCGAGGCTGGTGACCGCGTGGCCGGGGGTGGTGGCGTCTGCGGCGATGAAGGCAGCGATGCTGTCTGTCGTACCGGCCACCACCGAGCACGTGGGTGGCAAGTTGAACCTCGACGCCATGCTGGCGGACACCGGCCCGACCACGGCTCCCGGCATCGTCACCTAAAGACTCAGGCAGGCAGGCAGGCAAGCAGGCAAGGCAGGCAGGCTGCTTGTTGTTGTCTTCGCCGAGAAAGGAAAGGTCAATCTAGTTATAAATGCTGCGTGCTGCCGCTCAGAAACCAACACCGTAACCCCAAGCGACTTCGCAGTCGTGAGTTGTTGTCGGGATGTGTAGTACAAGCATCAGAAAAAGACACTAATACCGCATTGCGCACGATATAAATTTAAACAAGAGTGTCCCATACTGGCATACGCACCTAAAGCTTGCTTTTGAAAAATGTTCATCGGATCGGATTGAGTTAAAATAACAAGTCGACCTCAAGCGATAGATCGCAACATACACTCTCTCTTGAAGGACAACCCTACTACGGAAATAAAAAGATCATCACTTGAACTTCCTAGAGATGACCCCCCTCCCCCCTCTTTGAAACCTATCGTCGGTGCCCCATCGCCCTCGGGTTGCCCTCTCTGTTCTGTGGACTTAACGTACAAGTGGACCCCCAAGGACATTCTTCCTCCGGACCCCCCACCCTGAACCGTCAGTTCCCGGGGGCCCCGATGGTCTGCTCTAGGGTACACTCGATCTTGAGGATTCTGTCCCCAATGGAGGAACGACCCTTGGGACCATTAGTTCCGCTGAAAGCGGGATCGTATCTCAACCGTTTCTGTCATCCAACTCGGAGTCATTGACGTATGTGTTCTGTCAAAACCGCCCAACAACCAGAACCCGCAAGACAATCCTGCGACAACAACTCCCGAAAAGCATCTTATTGACACCCAAAACCCCCAAAAAGAGGGTATACAGATTCATTAATGTATTTTCTTTTTGGTTCCTTGAGGTTTGCTGGGCTCTTCGAGTCAAAAACACGTCAGCCGTGTGAGCTGTGGGAAACGCACACCGCAGCTGGCAGCCAGCTGTGTGTTAGTCTTGCTCCTTGCTTTACTTTCATCTTGCCATCACCGCCTGATCACACTGCTACAGCTACAGCAGTATGTTTTCATGAGGGCACTCCGGAGGAATCTCCACACCACCTACGTTTACATTCGAGTGTCATGCACTCAATAGACAAGGCCGATCCACAGGTAAACCACGGGGTAGAAGAAACAGCACCTCATTTTCTTACGAAGTACATGACGAGCGTACCTCGGGAAGACAACGCCCTATCTCCTCGCCGAGCTTGCTCTCCAGCAACCACCCGGGCCACCGCAGGGTGTCCACGTCGAACCCCGCCTTGAGGGCGTTGTTCCAGTCAGAAACGATCGAGCCCGGGCCCTGCGTGCGCGCACGAACGGTACATAGCATGGATTGTGCTTGCCGTGGAAGTTGCCCGCGTGCGACTAGCCTCCTTTCTGTGATCTACTCACCACTCGGGGTAACCAATCTATCAAGGATCGCACCGAACGCAAGTGTAATCTACACAAACAAAAAAGCTCAAGACAAGTCGAAGTTTTGCACTAGTGGTAGTTCCAATCGGTGACCGCTGTTCAACAGCCCGAAGCATAGGCCAATTGAATTGTTGCACGGGTCAGCGGTACGCAGTGGTCGGAGACGCGCTGTTGCTCCGTCACCCGCGTGGAATGCCGCGGCCGCCGGACCAAAAAAATACCAAGGACCAAAAACAACAACGTGTTTGCTGGCGGCGGCAAACAACAATGCCACATGAAAAACAAAAAATACATACTGTCTGGAAATCGCCACAAACATCAGCAGAGCGCGTCAACCGAGAGCACACCCGTTTTCTGCGTGTTTGTCGTTGCCTAAACACTTCCAAGTCGCAACAGCGTACCCCCCCCCTCCACGGTGACAGGGTTGCCGACGGCAAGGTACTGCTGTACCGCTCCTCGAAAAGAAAGCTCTTCGACGCTGCCGCTTCGACTGAAACACGAGATTAAGGCCTTGCCTATACGAAAGCACCTGCCCACTACATAGGAGAACCCACAACGTCGTGGGGAGGCCTGGCGTCTTGAGCGGCCTCACGCGGACAAGAGGGTGGGATCCCCCCTGCACATTCCT